ATTTATATTATTATTAAAAGGAATAAAATATATAAATTTTAATTATTTTATTATCTAAATAAATATTCTCAAATTTGATTAGTTAATATATTAAAAATACATTTAGAGTAAATATTTTTATATATATAATTTGAAAAATAACCTGCTTTTAGAAAATATAGAACATGTATTTATTTTATAAGTCCTGACATAGAACCAGGCTATTTTTATGCATATAGAGAGAAAATGCACTTAGAGAACATACACTTAGAGAGAGTTGACTATAATATGTTTAAAAAGAATTTCTAGAGACAAAATAGATACAAATAATTTAATCAAAGCATTTCATTATAAGTTAAAATATATTTATATAAGAGAATAACCAGGTCGATATCTTGATAGTAAAGTATATCTTTTTATAGAAGTTGTACTTCAAGACTTGGAATTTTCAGCCTTTTTGGATAAATTAAAAAATAGACAGAATGAATCCTCAAAAACATCAACAGCAAATTTGAGAAATCATAAGAACTACAAATATCAATCCAAATGATATTTATAGTATTGGCTTTGGAGTTTAGATTGTACATTCTATAACAAACAATGATATAAAATACTCTATTCGAAAAAAAGATTTAGTAGATAATAATGATAATAATTTAAACATATTTATATATATTTGTGATTGTCATAATTTCAAATCATGACAATTGCCATATAAATATATTTTTACTATACTTAATAAGCTTCATATCAATTCTGATAATATTGAAAAAAGTGGTCAAAATTATGTTAAGCAGGAAATAGCAAATATAGTTGTTGAGAAGCTTTCTAATTCTTCTACTTCTTTTGGCTCTTTAGGTAATAGCAACTTTGAATTTACAAAGTTGCAAGAAGAGCTTGCATCAATTGCTACAGAATAGAAAGGAAAAAACAATTAGAACATTTGCAGTTTACGGGTAATACTTAAACAATCTATTCAAATAGAAAGAACAAGAATTGCAAGAGTTAATAGCACAGATACTGACAATATCTTAAATACATCTAATATAGCACCAAATTTGGAAGTCAAAAGGCAAAATTAATTTTAAATATTTAGCCTATACAATAAATTAATAATATAGTATAATATTATTGCTTACTAACTTATTTAGTATTTGCAAATAAATTAATTTTTTTTAATTAGTTATTCCAAGTTGTAAAATAGATCTTTGGGTTTTCATATCCTATTTTATAATAAAGATTATTAATTAGTATTTACAATTTTTAAACAAATAAATTAAAAATATATAAAATATATTACTTTTCTTGCATAAGATAATTATTACTAAAATTATCTTGTTGCAACTATAATTATCTCAAAGCATCTGATCTAAAAATATCTTAAGATCCTAAATACAGAAATACAATATGTGCTATAATTAGGTATAACTATAACATTTAAGAAAAGAAAAATAGTTAGTATTAATATGAATAAATAAAAAATAAAATCATTAATGAAATAATTTCTTTTTTCAAAAAATTTTTAATTAAACTAAATATATTTAGATTAGTTCAATTTAATTATTTTAAAATTAAATTATTTTAATAAATAAACAAATAAATTAAAAAAAAAAATAAATCGATAATAAAACTATTACCAGGTACATTATAGAAGTTACTAATTTAACTATATTTGTCTCAAACTTTTTATTTTCAATACTATTCATAATGATGTATCTTTTTCTAACAAAACATCTCTTTCTAACAACACATACAAATTTGCAATAAGAACAGTGAAGTTTTATTCATAATTAATAACAATATATTATAAAAATTTTAAATAATTAATAAAAAAAAAAGATAAATACCTAGCCATTTCCTCTAGTATTCGAATCAAGTTCATCTCAAAATTAAAAATTGCATCTATCTTTTCATTATAACAATTTTATTATTATTATTATTTTTCTGCTCTATCTTATTTTCTTTTATTTTCTTCTTTACATAATTGATCCAATACTTATGTTAGATTTGTATAAAAAAGTTTTAACTGAACTATTAGATCATAATAGAAATAACAATATTAGCAATCATATCTCTGCTTCTTATGATCTATTACAAGATTACCAAGCCCAAGTTACAATTACCTACCAATTCTTTCTTCAATCAAAAAGAACAGAAAATCAAAAGGCACAATTATAGTATGCCTATTATTTGAGTGAAATCGTAAAAAATACATTACCAGAGCAAAGAACAGCTTGCACCAAGCAACTTACCAGATATTATACTACTGTAATAGTTTGAATTTATTATATTTTTTGAAAGTAAGAGACTGCTTTAATTAAAAAAACTACGAAGTTGATAGTGCTAATGATTTATGAACTAGAAAAAAAGATTATCAGCAGATCTTAAATTATTTTTAAAAGATTTTTTTTAATTAATATAAATCGTACAGCATTTATTAAGTAATATTACTAGATGTAATGCCTTATTTTTAATAAAGATTATATTAGTATTTGTATTTTTTAAATAAATAAATTAATAATAAAATATTACTGCCTATGCAAGATATATCATCAGGAGAGTTTCATCTTAACTGTAATATGTAAGATCGATATTATACCTTATTATATAAATATTATAAATTCATATATAAGAAATATAACTTTAAAATTTCTAATTATATATAAACTTCTTTTTATATATTAAAAAATTGATCTAAAGTCAGAACAGAAAACTTAATAAGAGTATTATATTTATAAAATACAGTATGTGACAATATATAATATTGAATATTTATCACATTTATCGCTTTGAATATCTATGATTAAATGTACTAGTTTGATCTTTTCTATTTAAGCTTTCTAGTTGCTGCTAATACAGTTATTCAATTTCAGATCTTTTCATAAGTGTGAATATTTAAATAATAATGTTGGCTTTTATAATTAAAAATTTATAAAGGTTATCAAATAGTAACTTACTATGGTGCATACCAGGCTTTTAATTTATTTGAGAAAATTGCATTTATTATATAGCATGTTTCATTATAAGACTATAAGGCTAAGTTTCATTATCGCTATTGCTATATATTAGCATATTATTATTGTATTACAGTATTAGCATTATGATAATATAATGACATATTATTAGAGATCGGTGATTGGAGCCAATCAGAGGCACAATTTAGCAACGACTAATAGAAACTTGGAGAAATTAGTAAATGCCAATATACTAAGCTTTTGTATAACACACTTACATATTTTTGCCCAATTATATTATAGTAAAAATATATATAGTTCATTGTATTATATAATATGCAAGTAGAGACAGACAGAAATTTCAAAGTTACTTTTTGATATTTTTATTATAAATATATTAGAAACAATACTTTTAAAGTATCAAAAAGGTAATTTTTGTATCACTTTACCCAATAATTAAGTGTCCTTCGCTACACTCCAGACAATTAAAGCAAAGCTTTATAATAAAGATATACAATTGTTGTATTTGTTATATAATTTTTTTAGCCTTGTACAGATTATAATAGTATATTTTAGTTATACAAAGAAGTGAAATTTCTCTCGAACTCTTATCCTCCTTTTATAAAATATTTTTTTATTTTTTTTTTGTTTTTTCTTTTTATTTTTTTTTTATTTTTATATTTTATTCATTTTTCTTTATCTCTCTTTTTATATATTTTTTTTAGTCATAGTTTATTTTATTTTTTTTACAGATCTTTTGTTAGAATAATTCTAGTTTATCCATGAACTAGTACAACAGGTTGCATTAAGGTACCATAGAGCAACCGAATGAAGTTGGGCTTTTAGTTTTCTAAAAAATTAAATGTATATAGTTCTTATATATAATTTAAATAAAATGCAAGTCACAGCAAGACCCATGAAGTTAAAAAAAAAGAAACTATACAATATACTAAATATACTAAATATAATTTTAATAGAATTAAATCAAAGATAAAAAATAAAAAAAAAAACATAAAAAATAAAATAAAAAATAAAATAAAGTTAAAGTAAAAATTAAAAAGTTAAAAAAATAAAAATAAGCAATATAAAGAATAAAAAAAAAAAAAACAATAAAATAGAAAAAATAAATAAAAACAAAAAATAAAAAAAATAAACATAATAATAAAAAAATAAATTTATTATCTTTACTATTATAATTAATAATGCATAATCATTACTATCCGTAGTCTATTGTTTTATATTTCATATATGCAATAAGAATTGTTTTATTTTTTAATCGGTAAAATTGAAAAAGTAATTAATGATTAACATAAATAAAAACATGTATTTGCTATCAATAATGCCAAAACCCGTCGTTTAACGACGGGTCCAGTATCTAGTCTATATCTAAAATTTTAAATATTTCGAAACAAGCGACAAGTCAAATGTTTTACAATATTATCGTTATATGGTGTGTTAAAATTACATTTTTCGCTGTAAATTACAGATTTTCGCTTTGCAGCATTCAAATATGAATAATATTTTATTCTATAATATTGAATCCAATGATAATTTTAATACTGGCGTTGAAAAACTCATAAGAATATAATGAATAAAAGGAAATTGACGAAAAGTAAAAAAGAAAACGAATGACCATTAACCGGGTTAACCAGTTAAGCATAACTTACTCCGGGTTAGGCATCAATATCACGGGTCACGGGTTGGCGGGTAAACAGGTCGAATCTCTATAAAAAGCTATATTCAATAAACTACCAAGCTCCATTAGTAGCAGCTGTAATAGCTTCCTGCAGACTTAAATGAAGGTATTTCTTTCTAACCGTATTCTCAACGGCCTCTTTTGGAGTTTCAATCTCAACTGGAGTAATATCTGAAGTTGATTGAATTCCAACGTCAATAAGGAAATTCTTTTGTTTCGGCTCACCAAATCCAACAACTATTAATGTACGTTGTATTTTTTCATTAAGAATATTTGCAAAATGATATTCTATAACATCTCCAGTGTATCTATCTAAATTCTTTTTAATGTCTACTAATGCTTGTATACCAGTAGAATCTATTGTACTAACTGCTGAAAAGTCGAACACTATCGCATTCAATTTTGGTAATTTGGAATTTTCTACGGCTTTATTTTTATAATCATCACTAGCATCATTCCATGGTCTATCACCTACTTTCTCTGCAATATTAGCCGACCGACGAGTATTTGACTTTACATAGTTAACTATTTGATCTTCAACGTAACTTGAATTTGGATAAGTTAATGATTCATCAAATCGAAATATTAGAACACCATCAGGTGGACTTTGAGCAGTTTGGAACATTGGACACAATGGAACATAGGCAAATTGTTTGGAATTGTCACCGTTATTGTTGGATGAGGCAACTTCCAGACGACCAAGTGCAACAAATCGCGGACGTGCAAGTCGAATTAATAATAACGCAAGTGCAAAACCAGTTGAAACGTATATCCCAATCTATAAATTCGTCATATAATGATAATCGTAAGTTATAAATAATTTTTTTTTTTAAAAAAAAGTGATTTAATATGATAATTTAATATGATAAACTGATAAATACGGTACCTCAACAGTGAAAAAGAAGTTGAAAACAACACCAAGAACAAAGACTATGAAATCCCAGACTAAAAATAATCATTAGGAAAATTTGTTAGTATTAAATGACAATAACTCTTAAGTAATCCAAAAATAGATATATTTGATACAATACATTGAATTTTCCATAATTGTTTTATATAAGCAGGACCAGAGATTAAATTGAGCACCGCATGAATAATAATAGCACTATAAAATAAATGTTGATTTAAAAATAAGAAATCGAACGGTCAACGACAATGAAATATTCAAAAATAATTTACCTAAGTGTTGCGCTGGGAATATAATAAAACACAGGGGTTAAAACATAGAGTGATAAAATTACTAATGCCGCTGTGAATATGCCGTCAAGAGGTGTTCGTACACCAGATTTTGCCTTAATAGCGCTACGTGAAAAAGAACCAGTAGAGGGATAAGCACCAAAAAATGAACCGATCGCATTGGTGGCACCGATAGCAATAAGTTCTTGGCTAGCAACAACTGTTTTTAAAAAAAATGACAAATTAAAATGTATTTATAATATATATAATATATTTATGAGATGATGATGTAAATGAAGAACGCACTTTTATAGTCATTCATTCTTCCAAAACTTCTTGCAATAGCTACGTGTTCCAGAATCAAAACAACAGAAATACCAGGAAGGTATCCGGCAACAATGCTTAAGAGTTCAGAGTCAAGGTTAGGTGAGCCAATATGATCAAATCCAGAAGGTACATTTTTCAAAATGCTAATGGGACTTGTGGTTCGACCAATATTCACCAGATAAGCGATAAATGTGGATATAATAACCAAAAGACAGTTGCGCGAAATCCCAAGGAAAAAGAATATCTTTTCTTTGTTGGGATAACGATGAGAAAGATAAGAACAACCATATTTGATTGTATATAGGAAAAATAAACCAATGAGTCCTAAAATTGCATCATCTTTCGTTTGCCCCATCGCACGAAGGGTATTACCAAGCACCAAATACGTGGCTTGTTTATTATCTATACCAGGTATACCTAACAAGCCTGCAATCTTTACATATAGAATACAATAATTATTTTTAAAGAAAATGCTCATGTATAAATAATACACACACGAATAAGACATTTACCTGACCCACGGCAATGTTAATCGCTGAACCGGTAGTGAAACCAGCAACTACAGGAGCAGGTATGAAGTCGACAACAAATCCAAGACGAAGTAATCCCAGGGTAAGAGCGATTAATCCAGTTAACAAGGAAAAGGTAGAAGCAATTGTTGTATTAGTGTATTTGGTGGTAACCTTAAGAATTGAGTTTATTGTTTGCCCTGTGAGCAAAGATACAACAGCGGTAGGACCAATCGTAATATCTTTTGAGGTAGCAAAGAAACAATATAACGCGACACCAACAAAAGATGAATATAGACCATATTCCACAGGTAAGGTCGCAATCTTTGCATAACCCATACTTTGAGGAATGACCACCAAACCAACAGTTAAACCGGCAATCACATCACTAATAAGCCAGGTAAGATTATAATAATGTATCCAAGAAAAAATAGGAAAAAGGGATTTTATATATTGAGCAGAAAATTTAGGAATCTCGCGAATAATTTGGGATGCTTTTTCCTTTGGATGTGTTCTCTTTGTTTCAAAAATATAAGGATAGTCAGCCATATCTGCCATGATGGAAATAACTATTTTTAATGATCAAATTAAATTAATTTACAGTTAGTGAAGGAAATAACTCCATGCAAATGGTTTTATATATACGGACAGCTTTAATAAATAATAACGTTTTATTTTATTATATTTGATTCATCAATTGCATCACTAAGAGAGTTAACGTCTTACCTATTATAGTATCTATAAAAAGAGTAATCTTGTAACTCTTAATTTTTAAAGACGATGAAACCGGTTTTTACCGGCATATATTTTATTAAAGTATAGAAATAAAATCGGGTAATTATTTAAGGTTGATGAAAATAGAAAGGTACGTAAGTGACGTTTAATGCATATGGACTGAATATTGAAATTAACGCTAGCGTCACATCTACAGTATTTGACAATAGTAAACTTGCTCGGGAACAATTGTTTATATGTACCGATATATAGTTACCAATACTAAGGGTATATGGAATTATATACTTAGCAATTATTACTTAGTCGAAAGGACAGATAATCCAATTATTTGATCAAATTCTATAGATCTAGATCCACAGGTAGATAAAATGGACATATATACTTTTTAAGGAAGTTGGTCAAGGCAAAAACCTCGTTACACAGTGTAATTTTCTGTATAAATAAAAATTTGGTGAGATCCAGCTACATGGGAAGGGGGGCGCCAATGTGCATAATAAATGTCACGCCACAACAAACGGAATCCAATTTCTAATTATAATATATATAATGTACCGTTTACATCTCCTGAACATTTGTTTTTATGATGTAAGACTTCTTAGTCATCAGATTAATTCAAGTAACGAATCAATAAACGATTAGATTATCTTAACTAATTAGAAACAAATTTTGCAAAACAAATAATAAGAGCACAAGTACATTTAAATGTAAACAGATTTACATGCGCCATTATTACCAGTATTACTCTAAATCATAACTGATCCAATGGATTTTCTAAACAATTGTAAAAGACAAATATTCGCTTTTTCTCTCGAACTTTATGTTTGTATTCGTAATGTTCTATCGTACAGAATTTAAAGCTTATATTTATAATTCATAATCATCAAGGAATTATCAAAATCCTATTCATTATTTTGAGTGGGAAAAAAAATGAAGTTTAAATATTATACATATATATATATATATTCATTTTTGTAGATTTATTCATCACGTGTATATATATACTTTGTTTTATTCTAACTACATAAATAACTTTTTTTAGGTCAGTAGGTAACGGTACAACATGACGTTTGCATAGTATAGCACTGACGTTTGCATAGTATTACATTGTTTGCATAATATTTCGCTGACGCGAGAATTTATGACACTGACGTTTGCATAATGTAACTGTAAACATTACTAAGTAGGCTAGTTATAAGATCACGCTAAACCTAGATGACACACATGGTTTTTGATTGGTTATATTGGTTATACTAATGACAATTCTTTTAAAATCTTTGATCAGAAGTTTCTTAGTTTCTTTAATTTTATAAAACTTGCAAACTTAAATTATACGTAGAATAGATTAGAATTAGGGTTAGAGGGTAGTTTAGTATTAGGGTAGGGTTAGAGTTAGAGGGTAGTTTAGTATTATAAATAAAATAGAATACAGAATAGACTATACAATTAAATATTTTAATATAAGATATACAGTCGCACTCACACCATCGGGACCTATAAAAAGTGTTCTTATATAGAAAATTAGTGCTCCTTATTTATCGATTTGACTAAGTCGATATTTAAATTCGGCTTAGCCGGCTAAATCAAAGTCAATTAATACCTTTTACCTTCAGAACTTATCGGAGATTTCATCAAATTTTTGTCGCGACCTTGCTCATACGTTTGTTGATTTTCTTCAGAATTTTTCGGCACCTGCTCTCAGTACTATGTACTAAGAGTGGTAATGCATCATAAAATAGACTAATGGCGTTCTCAAGCACCTACCTCAATGAATTCAATAAAAAATCTGATTGCTATTTAATCCATTGAGGTAGGTGCTTGAGAACGCCCTAAGTCGATTTTTTGGAAAATCGGTTGACTAAGTCGACTACAAGCACTATAGAAAATATGAGAGTAATTTTTATACAGTCACCTCCTATATAGTCGCACCCTCTTTATAAGCACCATTTTTGAAAATTTATTTATTAATAAAAAAACTTTATATAATCACGTTATTATTAAAACTTTATAGTCACATCTTTTTTATGAAAATCAAAACCCGTGATCAAAGAGGAGGACTGTATATTTAATAGTAATTATATAGTTCAAAAAATAAATGTGCTTATAAAGATGATGTGCTTATATAGGAGGTGCTTATATGGGGAATGGGCTGCCTTAGACAGCTAATGCCGAAGGCAGGTTTTCCTAGTCCATTCCCCATATGGGAGTGCAACTGTATAAACTTATTTAATGATTATATAAAATTACTTATATAGTTAACTATTAATAAAATTCTTTAAGTCAATTTATGATATCGTTATTTAAATTGCTGATAAAAATATATAATATAACTTGTATACTCAATTTTAAATGAGATTATTTCAAAATATATTATAAAACTTAATAAGTCTTATTTTTTAAATAGTTATCTATTTTGCTTAGTGCTCGGCAAAATCAAACAAAAACATGATTTCAAGGTTTGGATCTATCGATTTACAGTATTGTGCTTTAATTCAAAATCTATTTTTACTCTAATCTGACTTTAAATTTCATGATAAGTTAGCACGAAATTTAAAGTAAGTTCGGATGCCTGTTAGATTTGTATATTTACTAAAAATAAATTTTGTATTTAATGCTTAATATTGTAAATTGATAGATTCAAAAACTTGATTTTCAAGTTTTTGGTTGAATAGTATTATCATAGACATCGGGAAAATTAAATAAGTGTAAATCTGCAAAAATATGTATTTTTGCAGATTTTTGCAGAATTTTTACAAAAAATCTGTAAATTTGAAGGTTTATACAGAAATAGCATTTAATTTCTGCATTTATAGCTACCAGATTTGAAGCTTTGCACAGATTTTCATTTGATTTATTATTTAATTTTTTTGCAAATCTGTACAGAGCTGCACTAAAAAAAATTTCCCGATGGAAGAAAGATGATGAATAATTTAAGGTTTACCCATGGTAAAATCAGACAAAAACTTGAAAATCAAGTTTTTGAATCTATCAATTTACAGTATTAGGCATTAATTAAATGCATTAAATACAAAATTTATTTTTAGTAAATATATAAATCTAACAGGCATCTGACCTTACTTTAAACTTTGTGGTAAGTTTAAAGTCTGATTAGAGATTTTGTAATTATACTATAAGTCGATAGATTCAAAAACTTGAAAATCAAGTTTTTGTCTGATTTTGCCGAGCACTACCCATAACCTTGAATCTTTGTGCACATCGTATACTATCATCATTTATAATTTGGCATTCACCATTAGACGTGTTTTTAATTACGGTAATGTCCATTTGAAAATTTTAGAAAATGGAAGATTTAGAAGATTTATTAAACAATATTTATGAGAATTTTTATTTATAGTAAATCAAGAATTTATTATTATCTTATCATTATCTAAACACAGCTAAAATTTTAATTTTGACCGGTGCTCGAAATTTTGAAGACCACAAACCTATCCTATCGTGCTTAAATTTTAGTAATAAAATTATTTATATACAGTCAGACCTCGTTATAGTCACTCTTAATATAATCATAATCTTGATATATTCACACTATTTTTTAACTCGAGCCAATATAAAACATAAGATTTGACCTTTATATAGTCCCAACTTTTATAATCTCCAGATTCTTGTTTTCAAAGCTGGTGATTATATCAAGGTTTGATTGTAGTACCTTTATTAAAACATTTCTATATTAAATTTATTGTATTTTTTCACATGTAATTTGTGAAAGTGATAGAGGTTACAAATTTTAAGCAGTGATTACGTACGTACGTACATTGGTTTTGGTGGCGGTACTATGTTGTCAATAAGCTTCTGAGTTTAACTGGAAGTCGGTAACTCATTGATTCTGACTCAGTAACTTTTTTTTTAGTTATCGGTCAGGATCACTAAACAGTAAAAAAATAGTAGCGGTAGGTCAAGTTGAAATTAAGGAATGTATTGCAACAAAAGAATATGAGTAATAATGTTTGAATTATAACTATACATTAAAAACTTATTTCAGTATTTTATTTTGTCTTTATTCCATATGATTTTATCAAAAAAAATGATGGAAAATTTTTTTAGATTCAAGGAAAATAAAGCATCGGAGGTTTTTAATAAAGTATATATATATATTAAATAACAGAATTGATATTAAAATTAGTGCACGGCAAAATCAACCAAAAACTTGAAAATCAAGTTTTTGAATCTATCAATTTACAATATTAGGCATTAAATACAAATTTTATTTTTAGTAAATATATAAATCTAACAGGCATCCGAACTTACTTTAGACTTAGTGGTAACTTATCATGAAGTTTAAAGTTAGATTAGAGTAAAAATAGATTTTGAATTAAAGAATAATACTGTAAATTGATAGATTCAAACCTTTTTTGTTTGATTACTAATGTATATGCAACTTTACGTCTTCGAATTTTGTATGGTATACCCATTTAAAAAATTTTCAATTCAAATTCAAATGTAATTTAAAAAAAAAAAACGTTAAAACTTGTTTTTATCAATTATTAAATAAGGCTAAAATATCAGTAAATTTTAAAGAATTGTTAAATTGAGAATTCATCTGGAACCAAATATATATATATATATGAATAAATAAGTCACTGCTCTCGTTATAGTGAAGTGATTTGTTCTATTAATAAAAATTTTTTAAAAATTCACTATATCGAGAGTTTTATTAGTAAAATAACTATATCGAGAGAATTTTATATAGCTGATAGGCTGGCTTTGAGTCTAACTTCACTATATCAAGATTTTAATTATTTACTATATCTGTTCACTATAACGAGAGTAACTTGTATTACAATCAGCCACTTCAACGTCGCGTGTATATTTGTACTTGGTGAATAAAAAAAACATGCGTGTATATTCTATATATTCTATATATTCTACCTGCAAACTTGCTTTAATTTGGTTGGTTAAACCCCACGTGATCATGCACAGACCCCTTTATAATCTGAGTTGTTATTATTTCTGTATTTACGCGAAGACTCAATACCTCTAATTGCTTGGTACCAAACTGTGCAGCTTGCTTGACTGACCGACCACTTTAGAGTCTCTTTGACAGTTCTTATGCGAGGTCTATTAGATAATAAGAAATATTTAAAGGAAAGTATTCTAACTTTACAAGCGAAATCTGATTCTTATATTTTTGACTAATAACCTTGTAATATAAACACTAAGGTACATTAGCAACCGCGACACAAATACTGATACAGATACTGTACTGCAGAAAAAAACAAACTAATATCATAGTAAAAGGTATATACACGATTTTGTAGTCTAATAGTGTAATGTTAGGGGTTATAGTTAAGTTTTTAGAAAATTGTCGTTGTGTTTGTAAAAGGTGTGCTTAAAGGTGAGAAAGATTCTGAAGCATTTGCTCCTGTTCATAAGGTCTACTGGTTCGTAATGAGGATCAGTTATGGTTCTTCCTTATAACAGTCAAAGATCGATTTTTGTAGAATTGATTATCATTCATTAGTCTTCTTTTACAATCTGACGGCGGACTCTGTGGCTAAGCGGAGAATAAATGAAGCTACTTTTCACTAACCCCTTTCGCTGCATGTTATCTGCTTTCATTTGTATGTATTTCTAGTTGTAATGTCGGCTAATTATTATTTTTATTTTTTTAGGATCAATATGTACGAATAGGATTTTTACTTCAAAGAAAATATCAGAATTGTTTATCATTGATCTTTATTAATTTATTCATAATACAACTCACTCTCGTTATAGTGAAGATTCGATATAGTGAAGAATTTTTGAATCCGGAATTATTAAACCTCAACTCGATATAGTGAAGTACATATAGTATTCTCTCGATATAAGCTATAGTGAAGATTTTTTTTTCAGCCCGGGGGACTTCAATATAATGAGAGTAAGTTGTATTATTCATGCGATTTTACAATTTTTTTTTTCTAGCACCGAATAGATATGTCGTCCGGATCAACTTACTAGCTTGACACTTTTACAACTGTTTTTATAATTCTTATAATTCCTGAAATACCTGATAAAAAATTTGTCGAATGATTTTTTGCTAAGTTAGTGATATAAAAGATAATATTTTTATATTACATGTAATATCATGTTCTACAGATAGTTTTGTAGTTATTATGGTATATATACTATGTATATCAAAACTATATATGGTCATATAATAAAATTTATTAAGATTTTTAGAAGATAATAATTTTTATAATAACTAATACAAATTTTAAATAGATGCACAATCCTAACGGTTCGATAGTTTTGGATAAAATTTTATAAAGACCAGCATTGCGTCTTTACAAACAAAGTTACAGAGCAATTTCTAGTGATACAAATCGAAAATCGCAACTAATCGAAAAGTTGACAACTAATCGATTGAACTTTTAGATATCAACTAATCGACTAAAGAATTAATTAATAAATTGCAAAGAATCGATTGAAAAATTATTTATTTACTTAATAAATTAAATCGACTAGTTGAATCTAATCGATTAATCGAAGTTACAACTAATCGATTAGTTGCAACCAACTCAACTAATCGATTAGTTGCAACCAACTAAAAAAATAATGATCAACTAATCGACTGAAAAAATTTTGACGATTTATAACGCTAGCAATTTCATTTATTTAAACATGAAAATATAAAGTCGGGTCCGGGCTAACTCAACGATTCGGAAGGTTACGCCAGTCATCACGCGAGTCACGTGCCGCCGACGAAACCGTTCGTGACGAAGGTTCCCAATTGTCCACAGCATTTAATTATTTTTATTAGTACTGCATCTTTATTTATTTATATCGTTACCTTATATTTTGTGTCTGTAATTATCTGATACCATGGGACTTTGCATGTGGAGTACAGTAGTTTTATAAGTAAGGGGAAATAAACATTCAGGAGGTGATCGTTTTAATAGGGGCCTAGTAATAAAATAGACAAAGTGTTAGATGGCACGAATTATATAAAAAGACCTGTAAAAAAATCTTGTAAAAGGCATCTTCCCCGCCTTTCTCAAAAAACTTAGCTTTTAATAAAGATTCTAAAATTTTTCTTAAAAATCTATAAACACTCGACATTTCGTCTAATAAAATAATTCGATTACAATATTTTCTTAAAAAGGAAAGTTCTTAATTTGGTTTCTTTTTTAAAGAAATGGCTCTGTAACTTTGTCCGTAAAAGACGTATTGCTTGTATTTGCAAAATTTTATCCAAAACTATCGAGCATATATTTAAAATTTGTATTATTTATTATAAAAATTATTATCTAAAAATCTTTATTAATAAAATTTATTATATGACCATATATAGTTTTGATTTACATACGTACTATGTTTTAGATTTATCACATGATAAACTTGATTTAAAATTAATAATAAAATAAAAAAGATATAATTAATATCTATGATCAAAAAATATTAAACTAGATGTTATAATCAATTAGAACAATATTTTAACGATTCTTTACTTATTTCAATATGCCAAAAAATATTAATAATTTGAGCGCTACTAACAATTATTCAGTTTCTTCAACTAATAAACCTAATTCTGGTGGTCAGGTTCGTAAAGAAGTATTGGATGTCTATAATGTTGATGAAAAAAAAAATCCGAAAAAACTATTCTATCCGATGATATTCTAAGCATTGGAAAAGAGGAATACTATACCGTAATGAATCAACTAATGTTCTGGTTGTCCAGAAGACAACCAAAAATACTGGCAAGATAAAATTAACAAAGAACAAATAATTTGTAGTCTATGCCTCAGAAATATAAGCAGTATTAACCTATCACGTGGATAGTTCAAGTTTTATCATGAGTATAGTCGGCATCACTGGTTGTTTAGTGTGTTTAGTGTAAAAGTTTATGGAAAAGGTCATTCTTGTCAACTAGTAAATCTTGACAAAAAAAAAAAAATGGCCCGGATATAAAATGAATTTCTATAATTTTAAACGTATTACACGAATAGTGCTAATATTAAAAGGTTAGAATACAATCAAGAATTTGTTGACATATTTTTATATGTTCATGTTTGCTTTCCTAAAAGTAACGGATGTTTTTTAATACATCCATATCTTTGAAAGCGCTTGAGAACCCGACTTATAGAAGATATGCTAACACCTAAGCGCTTGGCAATTTTTCAAAACGATAAGCCTTCTAAATCTTTTTTTCAATTATTTGCCAGCGAAGCTGCGTATTGTCTAGAGCGTAGCGAAGGACATCTATAGTGTGGTGATAGAGTGTCGCTCCTATTTTATCGATTTATCTAATATGGCTGTTTCAATTTTCCAGTAATATTTTAAAGATAAAAAATATTATTATAGCACTATAGCACTGTAATGCTACTCTATATGTAATCATAACTCACCTTTTCAGAGTTGTGGAACCAAATGAAGAGCCCATCATTCTTATACAACAACAATCTACAAGCGCGGAACAACAATCTATTAATCACCTAATTTTAAATCACATATATAAAATTTATTAGATCTATCATACAAACTCAATCGAATCAGCCGAAAAATAATTTGACTAAGCTGTCGAAGAAATGATTGTTGGAGAAATTTTTTCGGAGAAAATAATACCAGGGAAGTGATATTAAACCAAATTAATGATAAATACCTGTTAATGGTTTTGAGGCGTGCATTTTCGGCCTCTAATTTCGAAACTCTCTGTCGGAGAGATTCGATGATCTGATCTTTCCTATTATTTGTTTCGTTCTGCAGTGCTTCGACTTGTGAAACAATTTCTGAATTATATTGAATTATTGCATAAATAAATGTTTAAATAATTTTTTATGTGCATATTTAATTTAATATAATACCTTGAAGCAACTGCGAAGGTGGTTGAGAAGAGGAATCCGGAATGGAGAATGATCTATCAATCTAGTATACACAATAATGCAAAATTTATTTTCACAAAAACTTTTATGATAAGAATATAAAAATCAGATCACTTTAAAAAAATATACATCTCTTCTAGCCATTTTAAATGTTGTAAATGCTGTAAATGCTGTGAAGGCAGCGAAATGTTGTAAGGGTGTTTCAGGAATTATAAACAGTTGTAAAACCCGACCCGGCCATACTGTCGCGGCCGTCAATGACCGTGATGTACTTTTGGCTATGGAGATAGTGTATTGTTAATATTTCCTCATGTGCACATAAGAGTCGTAATCATCCATAACTTCGTTCTAGTTACGTCCTTTTGTAAGCGAAAAGCTCCTTATATATTTATCATTCGACTCTAGATTAATTACATCATAATTAATCATACGATATTTAACTTTACTTAAATTTAATTATTAATCATACCGATACTTATGCGTCTTGATCGATTCTTGATCATGGTTACACGCATTAAACTATCGACTATGATGATGTCGCCTGTAGATCTCCCACAAAAACATTAATCAATGAATCTACCCTAACGTGACTTAACCCTAATCTAACATAACCCTAACCCTTAACATCCCAATTGGATAAAAATCACGAGGGGGTAAAATTTTTTGTGGGTGAGTTACGACACTTGCTATCCCACAAAAAATTTTACCCCCCTCGTGATTTTTAACCAATTGGGATGTTAAGGTTAGGGGTTAGGGTTATTTAGATTACCGGTAGGTTTAAGTCACGTTAGGGGGTAGATTCATTGATTAATGTTTTTGCGGGAGATCTACAGGCGTTCATAATTCTAGTACCAATTTTCCCGTAGAACCGATTTTGCCGCGACACGTACTTACGAGCTTTTTTTTTTTTAGCGGGCCGAGCTTGGACTTGGGCTTGCAAATAATTTCTGGGTTTGGTTTTGGGCCCATGCAAGCCGCACCCTACTTATTTCAGTAGAAATTAGAACCCATTAATTAGTTATTAATTAGTTAGAGGACCACTTACTAACATTTTTGTATTTTAAGAAATTTTTTATTATCGCTCATTGTTTGAAAGAATTTTTTTTTATTTTTTTATCAGCTAGGACCATTGTTTGAACCAGGAGCGGACTGTTAGGAAACGAGGACTGAAAATCATTCGGTCCAGTCTCGGATTGATCCATCACTAGTTTCAATTACATCAAAAATTGAATTTTAAAGTCTATAATAGCAAAGCTTTATAGTGCTTGGATCTGTTCAAAAATTCCGTCGGATTTTCTATTAGATATCTATTCGTATCGGATAACGAAAATATATTTGCAGATAGTCGGATATCTATTATGATAAACTATCCGATACTTCGATTAATAATAATGATGCATTAATATTGGCATGAATAAGTGACATTATTTTTGCGTAACATTTGATTAGAGAATTTTTCTTATAAATACGTATTTTATCTTGAACGCGTAATTTTTTTTTTGTAATAATGGATAGTGAAAGATTAATTATCTAGCGAAACCTTTCTTTGAGTTGCTCGAATAATAATATAACTTATGCATTGATAATATTAATAAAATACACATCTGGCTTTTTTTTTTTATAATAATTCTCATCTCAAGCACCTTAATCAACCCGTCGGAACGGGTCTGAGGGTAAATTTTTATTAATAAACGAATCAATTGTATTGATTATTCCCAATGAATAAAACACGTAACGAAAGTTTAATACGTCAGAAAGAAAATTTTTATTAGCGGAAGTTCGTTTAACCGACTAAGGGTATTTATTAGAGATGGGCAAAGTCAGTTACATATTATTACTTAATATTACTTAATATTACCTTGAATAAGTATTATTAAGTAATTTTACAATAATTTTATTATTAGTAACAACTTTTCGTTCAATCTCAATTTTGATCACCCGTCTCCGACTTTTATCATGTGTTTATATGTACACGTAATAGATAATTGAATGTAATAAGTACTATTTATTCCCCGGGACGGTGGGAATAATGAAATATTTCCCCAGAGGTATATGTATGGGAATATTTATTTAATATTAAGTAAGGGATAAGTCATAGCGATAGGTCATTATTACTTAATATTAAGTAAGGGATAAGTCATGTCATTATTACTTACAAAATTACTTTGCCCATCTCTAGTATTTATCATTCCAATCTAGAGATGGGCAAGGTAATAAGTAATAAATACATGGCTTATTACGACTGATTATTACTTATTGCGGTTCACAAATGATATAATTTAAAATCCGATCAGCAAATACTACATTTTTTTACTTATTAGGCATTATAAATAAATTCATCTGCAATATATTACCACGCGCACAGAATCTATTGGAATTTTCGTTGAATAAAGACAAAACTCGCGCTTAATAATTTTTGATTATCGTCGGTGATCACAAGGCCGCTACCTAATAATCCGGCTACCATTCTAAACTAGGGTTGCCCGTACTAACTTACAGCTATTATCATAATCTCTGGTACACCTGTAAAAATTGACTGAACGATTTTTCGGCCGATTTGGTTAGGTAATAACAGATTCAATAAATTGATATATCAGATATATACATAAATTATAACTAACAAGAAAATTTCAATAATAAAGAACATGTAGTTTTACAACTAAAAACGTTACATTATTATTATACAATATTTATTTTTTATAACATTAAAGAACATTCACTATTTTTACATTTAATACTATGTGGATAATACCTACTTTCACACCCCAAATTAGAACATCTACAGTATATCCGGCCTAATGAATAATTGATTGCAATTAAATTTTACAATCAATTAAAATTATTATAAAAAATAATTGAGTTCAATTAACATTAGAATAATTTCAATTTGTAGCTTTCACTAATTAGGGCCCGGATCCAGTAGCAGCACGCTCGATGTGATTAGCTATTGATTGAAATAGTACTCAACCATTATGGCGTTATTAATTAAACCATTTTTGAGAACCGATAGTATGGACGATGATATGATTATGCTTATGTATCTTCATAGTGGATTAATTTATGATCGTGTTGGTGTTCAAGTATTATTATTAATAATTAAAATATTGATTAAAATTGATGCTTGAGCAAACGTCTTTATCATCACTGCCATTTAGCAATTGTTGTTTTTACAATAAAAAAAATAAAATAAAATAAAATATTGAAAACGATGGATCAGCGAAAGGATAAAGAATCTACGACACTTTCAAATTCTGTTACTTCTTTTTTCAGAATTTACTACGAACCAACAGAACACATAAACGTGCCTTTTTTATTTGCGGCGAATATTTTTAGCATAAGTAATAAGGTAATAATGATTTTGAAGATCCATAACGATAACGATAATAATGTAAAAAGAGTGAAGCAATTATTTTTTCTAATCAATCAATGAAAACTTTCCTCCATCTTTTGTTGATTGGAATAGAGATGGGCTATTGTCAATACGTATTATTACTTATCATTAAGAAATATTACCACCAAATTTTATTTCGTAGTGGTAATATATCAGCTTTGCGAGATCAGTCAACAAAATCCAGAGAAATTTATGGAGTCTCATCAGATACTTATTTTTTTATTTCCTGATAATAATCCCGGATTATCCAGATAGCGCGTTTATGACCCGGTTAAAGGGTATACCTACAAGTTATTCTGGTGATCTTTAATTGGATTCAATCTCTACTTAAATTGAGTTACGTTCCTGATAATGTCATTTTTAAAATATGTTCATTTGATGAAATTGAAATAATATACATCAAAGAAGTACACTTTATTAATGAATTAAATATTAATTATATACATATGTACTATTATTAATTTATTCTTTCTTTTTATTTTTTATCCTCGATTCTTTAAACTCTTTTAGTTCTTTTAGAAGTGCCATGAGTAATGGAACTGAAATAGGTACAAATAAAGGCATATAAATAGCATATTTATGTTCATCTGGAAAATAAAGCATTGATACCATTGTGGGATCAAAAAATGCTGTTTCAGCCCTTTCTATTGCTTCTTTTGCATGTTGCAAAGCTATTTCGTACTGCCCAGTATGCAAACTTATACATGACTAAAAATATTAAAAAATAGTTTAAAGTTAGCAATAATTATTCTAACAGATAATAATATGTGTAAAAAAAAAAAAACTCACCTTTTTCAAGCTATCCAGCGCTAACAAAACCTGGAATAATTGAAAGAATAAAATTATGCATAATATATAGAGACAAATTAATAATTCTTTCAAAATAACATACCTCAGTTTGTATATGATCAAGTACTACCATATTTGGAATCTCCGCAACCAATTGAGATAATGATTTCAAGGTTGAAATCGTTGAAACAATGTTTTCAGCAATGCGCCTTCGTATGAGGCTATCAAGTTCCCACATTGTAATAGCTGTGTTCGGCGGGGACATAAAATCAACACTTATTGATGAATCCTAAGCAGTTATGAATAATATGAACGTTACAATACATTCATTATAAAGGCGAAAAAGTCATTATTATGTTACCAATGCAGATCTAGCCTCCATCCAAAAATCTTGAACTCCAAGTAACCCCCTTAGTTGCATAATAAATATGGACATGACTGACTTTAATTCATCAAAAGTAAACATATGAGTTCCTACAGACCGATCTGGATTATTAATTATTACACCACCCCATCTTGGTATTAGAAAAGCATTGTTTTCTATAATATTTCCTAAAAATAAATGAGGGATTGATTTTATTTTTCACATCAACCAAAGTCAATGAGCAAGATTTCTAAAATTACCTTTTGAATCTTTAATGTATAATGGACTTTGATCCTTGGAAGGAACATACAAAATAAAATTAAGTGTTGGATAAGACGATACAGCCGAAGCTTCAAATAAACATTTAAAATTTAATATTAATGTAATTGATGTGCACATTCAATATACAGAATAAACAGGTGATCATTAAAAAAATCTATACCAAGATTCCATTCTGCTGCATTAATGAAATGAGGCAATAAATCTGGTGTAAGATAAAAGTAGTTTTCATCATTATGTAAATTTTTTTGTGGCTCAAAAGTTAATCGTGCATAATGTTGAATCTGTGACTCCACAGTTAAATTGGAAATCATTGAAATCTTGTCGACAAAGGGCCTTAAATATTTAACAACTGCTTGTTTGATATCCCAATCCACAAGTAGAGTTGAAGGATCACCATTCATGAGACTAAAAGTTACTTGATACATTGGAGAATATTTCATTGTTCTCATACTATCAACATCTACCTGAAAGATCAAAAAAGATAAAATTAATTGTGAAAGGTTTCTAAAAGAAATATTATATCTTTACCAATGTAACTAACCTTTGCTTCAGCAGATGGCCCTCTTATAAATTTCTTTATGGCAGCTTGCTCAGGTAAAAATAAACTCAAGATAAGGTTGGAGATAATATTCTTAATTGAATCTATAATATTAGCAAAAACAAAAATTTTATTTAATATATCAGGAATAATCCAGACATATCAAGTAAAATAAAATGCTTGCCAATATCCCAATGCCCTATTTCAACAATTGCTTGTCTTTGATTTCCAACCAATACTCTAGTTTTTGAATTATTTCCCGGTAAAATATAAAAGCCATATTGTCCATTTTTATTTACCAAAAAATTTAATAAATCGGAATTGAAACCTAATTTAAAATATTTAAAAAATTATTTAATTTATATTTTAAGTTAAAATAAAAATAGGCGAATGATATTTCCACATCCCTTTTTTAATATTTCCACGCCCATGTAAATCACTTTTTTAAAAAACTTTAATCGAAGGTATCTCGATGACCACCTGATCAAATTCGACGAATTTTTTTATTGGAATTCTACAAGGATGTAGAATTCAAATAAAATAAAAAAATTCATCGAATTGGTCAGGTGGTTATTGAGATACCATCAATCAAAGTTAGAGAAAATTTTGCCGCGGCTATTATTCTGATAGACGTTTAGATTTTTTCAAAAACTCTGATCGAAGGTAACTCGACAACCAGCTGACTAAATTCGATGAATTTTTTTTATTTGAATTTTGCATAATTGTAGAATTCTAATAAAAAATTTCATCGAATTTGATCCGGTGGTTGTCGAGATACTTTCGATCAAAGTTTTTAAAAAAATCTAAAATAATAGCCGCGGCAAAATTTTCTCTAACTTTGATTGAAGGTATCTCAATAACGACCTGACCAAATTCGATGAATTTTTTTTTTATTTGAATTCGTCATAATTGTAGAATTCTAATAAATCGAAGTTGATCCTGTGGTCGTCAAGATACCTTCGATCAAAGTCTTTTAAAAAATCTAAACGTCTATCAAAATAATAGCCGCGGTAAAATTTTCTCTAACTTTGATTGAAAGTATCTCGATAACCACCTGACCAATTCGATGATTTTTTTTTCATTTGAATACTGCATACTTGTAGAATTCCAAATAAAAAAATTCGTCAAGATATCTTCGATTAAAGTTTTTAAAAAAAGTGATTTACTTGAGTGTGGAAATATCAAAAAAGGGGTGTGGAAATATCATTCGCCTAAAAATATTACTATTATTAAAGTTTACCCTCTTTAACAGCATTCATCCAATCATTCCATTTAACCACTTCAATCTTAACTGGAAAACGAATAGGTTTAGGATAACCAGTATCATTATGGGTTGAATTAATCAAGTTATATTTCGACATAATTGAATTTTCAATCATGTTAGAAAAAATTTTATAATCATTCACATCCGATTTCACATCAGCAATATGTAAAATAAAAGTAGTGGGAAAATCTAGATCAAAGGCCTATAAATGTTAAACGATAGTCAAATAAACAAAATGAAAAATGTAGTTTATATGGAAGAATTATCAAAAAAAAAAAAAAGATTTACCTCCCATTTAGACCATTCTTCTATTTCCGCAAACGGAAGTTGAGCTCGATACACTTCTGTAGTCTTCCACCATAAAGGAAGACCAATTAATATTATCACCCAAAATGATATTATAATTAAACGACGAGATTTATCATTTTCTTGGACTTTTTCCATAGCTAGGTCACCATAGATCCTTTTTAATGGAGAAAGTTAACATTCGATATTTTAATGTATGTGGAAAACGAAGATCCATTTTTTTGCTGATTAAATATACAAATGTTAATTGAGTAACATAGTTAAATATAGTTTGTACACTGGGACCTTGCAGATAGAGGATCGAGTACTTTTACTTTGAAATTTACGATAGCCAAGAATATTATTTGTCAAGGGGGGAATAACCTAACCTACCAAATTATCTAAATCGTTGAAATGCCTTAAAGCATTGACTATCGCTATACGTATACTATGATTGTTGACTAATAATACCAAACTGGGATAGATTGTACAGCCATGATCATGATTAATAATAGTACTATGTATGTGCGTACGTACGTAACGTATTGATCACTGCCTTTCCGATCATCTGCCAAATAACATTTGTTTAGGTAAGTTTTAAGAAGTCTCAGTTTTAATAATCATTGTCAGATAAAATGGAAACTATATATAAAGTTGTTAGATGGAAAAGGCGGGAATTATATACTTGTTTCGGTTTAAATTAGTAATAATAGGAAATTTTTCTAACCAAAGCGAGTATTTCACATATATTCTGAGTTATAAAATTGATAAATTTTCAAAAATTAGACCAACCTATATATATAGTTTTCTAATATCTCTCACCAAAAATTTAATAAATGAGTTTAAAACTTCTTGATAGGATGGAGCAACCAACCGTTAGATCGTTTACAACATCTAATGAACTTTCAGTATCACTTGCGGATCTCGTTACTAAATTGTCTGCAGAATCTATCGAAGCGCGTGATAGGTTTACAGTAGGTATTTCCGGTGGGTCGTTACCAAAATTGCTTGCTGCAGACTTGAAGCATAGAAAGGATGTTAAATGGGATAAATGGGAGGTATTTTTTTGCGACGAAAGGTAAGAAAATATTAATTATAAAAATTATTTTATCAAACTCATCAACAAAGTAAATCGAATTCTATTGTTATCAAGGATTGTTCCATTAGAACATGAAGATTCCAATTATTTTCTTTGTAAAAAAGAATTGTTTGATCATGTTCCGATTCCACCCGAAAAAATCCATACTATTGACCCTAATCTCGCATCAGAGAATGAACCGAAAGAAGAAGATGATTCGATTGATCCAGTTGCTGAAGACTATGAAAAACAACTAATTGATGTTTTTGCAGGAGCAAAGTCCATCAAATTTCCAGTATTTGATTTATTACTTTTAGGAATCGGACCAGATGGACATACCTGTTCCTTATTTCCAGGACATCGACTTCTTGATGAGGGTGTCTTGTGGGTGGCATATATCGGTGATTCACCTAAACCTCCACCTAAAAGGGTTACACTAACCTTACCAGTAGTTAACCATGCGCGAAATGTGGCATTTGTTGCCACAGGTTCCGGAAAGCAAGATATTTTATATCAAATATTTGAGGATCCTAGTAGCAAACTTCCATCTCAATTGGTCAAGCCCACAAATGGTAAATTATATTGGTTCTTGGATGATGCTGCTTCCTCAAAGCTGATTTTGCCAAAGTAATAATTCAAAGTTCATGGTTGATAAAATAATATCATCAGGAGATATAATTTAGCTAAAGTTCAGTATATAAAATATATATTACAGCACATCACATTTAAGTAATATATCTATTTTTTATTGATTTTATAAGAATATGCCTTTGTTTTGTCTGTTTCTTTGCACCTTTTCCTTTTATATTTTTATTTGCAAATTCCGTTTCAATTAAATGCCTAAACTTAAATTCTGACACTTATTCGGTTGCTCTTCTAAATTTGTATAAAACAGGCTATATGTTTTATAATAAATATCAAAAATTCGAAAGAAGCTTTAAAACTATACATATTTTTAATATCTCAGTGAAATATGATTAGTCTTTATGTAATAATCTATAAATGAGAATGGCAGAGAATAGCTCTCAACGTAGTCATTATTAAAAAGAGATATGACAATTTAAATCGATCATTATGAATGTAATTTTTCTAATTACAAAAATATATACTCGAGTAAAAAAAACAGATATTATAATTTCCTTTAGTATCGGACGTTAAGGCCGAAATTAAAGTAGGGTCCTTCTTTTACCAAATTCGCATATTGTTAAACTATCAACTTTACGGATTACATCTATATTTCACGTTTCTCATGTCAATAATAAAATATTTCAGATGCTGAAATACATGCATTTATTGGTATTTGTTTTTTACTACGTTATGTATCGAAAAATTTATATGTGCCAGGTTACTTATCAAATTTGCCCGTTTTATATGAGATATAATTTATATGACGCGGGCGACTTAAATCTATTCTTGCCACCCAAATCCCAGCTCTGGCAAAACTAATATCAAAAATTTTATTAATAATCTTCATTTAAACGGATAATACTGTATATTCTCATACTGTAATTATTTGATTTTTTATAAATGGCAATTTTGCTAGTGAGTGTAGCTTAAAGACATCCGGTTTATTGTAAATTATGTATATTTATTCCAAAAAAAAAGATTACAATATTTTGACGAAGTAGGTAATTTATATTCCGCATACGTATAAGTTATTCAAAGCTGATATTTTTTTATTAACAATCATTTTTTTATTAACAATCATTTTTTTTATTAACAATTATTTTTTTTATTAACAATCGTTTTTTTATTAACAATCATTTTTTTATTAACAATCAAATCATTTTTTATTACTTTCATTCTAGATATACAATTTCCATTGCTAATAAATGGGAATTGCTTTTTAATCCATATATGGATTAAAAATATTACACAATATTACAAGTCTAGCGAAAACATTGTCAAAAACGATGCAATAAATGCAGAAAAGAACTATTAGTAAAAGCATAAAAGGGTTATAAAAATTTGACAAGAACGCGTTAAGAATATTTACCATAGAACGACGCAAATTCAAGAAACCCCACCAAAAAAACGCCATAGAACCGAAAATCGGACGAGGAGCCTGAAAAGAACCATCAGAAAATGTCATGAAACGGCAAGAAAAAAAAAAAAAAAACTTGAAAAGAATCAAAAATAAGGCTGCAGAAAATATTACCGGAAGCCGATACGCCAGAAAGGAATCACCGGAGAACGCCGTACGACTGCCATTCTCAAATCAAACAAAATAGGCGGAATCAAACCGTAGCCGTGTGCACTACTCAAAGCCTAAGCAGAATCAAAGCACCGACTAATCGGACCACTCAAAGCTATCATTCGACTCGAGAGCGTAATAGCAGTCGACCTTTAAATATATTAAAATAAAAAATTATTATTAATTTAAAAATAAAAACTTTAAAAATAAACCAAATAAAAAAATAAATGCTGCATACCTTTTTTCGAAAAAAAGGATTTTTAATCGACTTTTTTCACACTATTTACTAAACGACATATGCGGAATCAAACCGTAGCCGTGTGCACTACTCAAAGCCGCACCGACTAATCGGACCACTCAAAGCCATCGTCTAGTATAAAGTGTAATAAGCCGACCGAAGGCCGACTTTTCACGCGTTAAGCGACTGCAATCTATTCTCAAGCTAAGCGATCTATGCGGAATCAAACCGTAGTCGTGTGCACTACTCAAAGCCTAAGCAGAATCAAAGCACAGACTACGAACCACTCAAAGCTATCATCTAGCTTGAAAACGTTGCAGCAGTCGGCCATCTAATAGAAAATAGTTAATACCAAATCAAGTAGTAATTAAAAACAAAAACAAATATACTATAATTTATAAATAAACATACCGTTATTAAAGAAAAAGACTTTCTCAATCGACTTTAAATAGCTGACCGAAACAACTCTCTACTAAACGACGTATGCGGAATCAAACCGTAGCCGAGTGCACTACTCAAAGCCTAAGCAGGATCAAAGCACCGACTAATCGGACCACTCAAAGCCGTCTCGTAATAGAAAGTTGACCTTTTAAAAAGGAGAAAAATAATTAATATATAAAGTAAAAACTATAAAATCAAACTAAATAAAAATATTGCATACCTTTTTCGAAAAAAGGATTTTTAATCGACTTTTTTACACCATTTACTAGACGATATATGCGGAATCAAACCGTAGCTAGCCGTGTGCACTACTCAAAGCCTAAGCAGAATCAAAGCACCGACTAATAGGACCACTCAAAGCCATCGTCTAGTATAAAGTGTAATAAGCCGATGGAAGGCCGACTTTTCACGCGTTAAGCGACTGCAATCTACTTTCAAGCAAACGTCTATATGGAATCAAATCGTAGTCGTGTGCACTACTCAAAGCCTAAGCAGAATCAAAGCACAGACTATGAATCATCCAAAGCTGTCGTCTAGCTTGAAAGCGTTGCAGCAGTCGGCCTTCGAATTAAAAATAATTAATACCAAATCAAGCAATAATTAAAAAAAAAAAAAACATATATAATATAAAATAAACATACTTTATTAAGGAGAAATTTTTTTTTTTTAGTCGATTTTTAGCAACTATATGTCGTGGTATAGATTATATTTTCCCTATACGTTCGTAATAGTATTTGCTTTCTATAAAAAAAAAAAAAAAAGGTTTCATTATTTCAACGCTATAAATAAATCGCAATAATATTTATAATAGTATTATCAGAAAAATATGATACAACTGGCGAAGAAAGATGGGGAGGATATATTTATGCTCCGGAAACATAAATATAGAGCCCGGCCGCCATGTATGTTTCTTTGGCGAGGATATAATAATATAGAGCCCAGCCATTTTGCGAGGATATAATAATATAGAGCCCAGCCATTTAGACGAGGATATAATAATATAGAGCCCAGCGATTTGGCGAGGATATAATAATATAGAGCCCAGCCGTTTGACGAGGATATAATAATATAGAGCCCAGCCGTTTGGCGAGGATATAATAAGATAGAGCCCAGTCGTTTGACGAGGATATAATAATATAGAGCCCAGCCATTTACCTCGCTCATATTTCATAATTTAAATACATTTTTCATTTTTTATAAATGCATAAATAATTCTCTTACCTTTGCCTCACTTATATTATGTGCTTTATTTTCGTAAAAGTTGTGTATGCTTCTTTGGCGTTCGTTCTTGGTTATGTGATTTCAGTATCCGGGAATTCACAGCGCTGGATGGTTCGGTTATGTAACATGCCTAAGTTGCATGAATATAGTAATGGTGTGGCCAGGTGATAATATATCTGATCGATTATCTAACAATAAAAGTGCAAGGAAAGTTGCATTGATTGATTGATAATAAATCGAGGGTCTCATCTCGTAATTATCAGTTGGTAGTTTAAAGGTAATTAGGTCTGCACGATCAAGGGAAGTATTGAATGTGTTAGTTTAAATAGACAAGACAATCCTAATATGATAACATAACGAAAATTAAAAAAAAAACCTGAAGATCCAAGAAAATAAGAACCGAACGTGATAAAAGAATAACGAAAAGCATTTGCAGAAAGGAGTTATGCTAATAGAGTGTGCAAGGTTGATCAGTTGTGAAAGTAAAATCAAATAAAAATGATAAAAATGAAACATCCCCGGTCACAATCAAAAATCCGCAGACATGGGTCATGGCAATGATGCATTTAAGTTAGTCCTTGTAATCAACTGGTTGAATAATCTTGGCAATTCTATTCAATGGAACCCGAGTCGGAAAGAATGAGCGTAAGATATTCATATACTGGTGTGAAAAATTCCGAAGATGGCGACCCAAATTGAGGAAATAGCCTTGGATATTATTATGATGAAATATGCCGGTAGAAAACAATGCTGGAGTCATGCTGTCTGAACGAAGAAGCACTAAATTCCTCATTATATTTTCGTTTCTTTGGCGTCTTGGGTAGTGCTAAAGAAGTGATATTTTCCTTTCCTTTTCCATTATCAACATTATTCGTCACTTTCATCAATTATTAGTCTGATTACGATAATAGAACAACCAATTTTTTCAAAAGATGTTTTATTACATAAATCAATTTAAAACAAGATTAGGTTCATTTTTCACTTAAGACACAAAAGTAATTGTTTTAATAAAATTTTGCAATATAACTTCTTAAAGTTTGTATTTTCTTATGATTTATTATAATTATAAGATTTACAACATAAAAATTGATTTTCCGAAGATACTTTTTTTGTCACCTAGCTAGCCCAAATGATCTTTCAAAGGATACAAAATCTTGAATTGGAAAATAGTTTCCCGAAACAACGAGTGTCAACGAATTTCTCATGTCATATAAAACGCGTTTATCTCTTGCTTGTTTCCATCCGGTATTTGTTCTATGCTTTACAAAAAAGAAAAGAAAAATCATGAGAAAAATAAGATTTCTATAAAACTAAAAAGTATTCCAAAAAATGCAATTAAGAATATAAGCAAATATACCATATATGGTTGACATAGACTTACCATTAAAGAAAAAATTTCTCCTGCCATTTTAAGCAAGTATCTCGTAAGGTTATTCTTCTGGTACCATTAAAATCTTTTTCGATCGAAGTTTCAATCTTAATTATTAAAGGTAAATTATCATAAGAAAATACGAAACGAATGTTAATTTTTTTTCGATAAGTTACGAATTATACACATCTAAAATATTAAATTGTAAAAGCTTACGCGTATAAAAAAAAGGTTTATAGAAAATTTTCGTGTAAAATAAAAAAAGGGTTACAGAAAATTTTAGTGTAAAAAAAAAAAGAGTAATGATAGTAAAAGGATAAAATTTGTAAAAAAAAAAAAAAAGCCCTTATATATCCGATTCTTTTTTCAAACGCGTAAAATCGAAGCCATTTCGTATTGTGTGATTGTTATCGCTATCCACACTTTATTTATCCTTAATTGGAAATAAAGCATTCGAAGATGTCATAAGATGTCATGTAAAGATTATGACTGGTTTTAAAAAACCGGTTTGGGGGTCTAGATTTGGTTTCTGAACTGCGTGCTTTCGATCCAGGTACGTACGTAGGTATTGCAACCGTGAAGCTTCACATGATTCTAAATTTGTCACAAAGACACTGACTGACTTTTGATGATCTGCGCTGCAGTATCTTGATATCTTGATACGCCCTTCTATGAATACTTCTATTTACGGAAATTGATTTATTTTTTTTTTTCGAAATATCAGATATAGTAATATAATGTTAATATATATTATATAGTTATGCATGCGAAATATGAAATTTTATTCAACGAGTTTACTATTTCAGTTTATCAAATACCATAATTATATTAGCATTAACCATAGCTGCCGCAAAAAAATTGGACCAGCAGATGTTCGATTTTGATTGGCTAAGAGCGATGATCAAAAATTAGGCCGGAATTACTCATAATTTTATTAATGAAATCATAGCCGCCTATTAAGTGAAAATTGCTTTACCCAAAGCGAGGAAGCAAGTAATTTAAATGAAGATTGATTTAGCCGAGCAAAAGTTTACCGTACTAAACTCCAAGACAGCTCCTGGGCCAATTTTACTATAATTCGGGCTTATTTTTTAAGAATTTATATTTTTGTAATGAAAAAATCAAAAGTTAATTTCGGCCGGAAATTAGTAAACAATTTTGTAATGTGGGCCAAAATTTTGAAGATCCTCGGCCGTTAGCCAATCAAAATCGAGGAGCTGCCTGTCCAATGAATCTGAGTGGGTTCAATGAACTTGGAATAGGCTTATTTGAACCTGAATTGGGTCAAATGAACCTAAAATGATCAGATCTATTTGAAAATATTAGAACTATCAGATATGAGTTTTGTTAACAATACCAGGGACAGGGCTGATCATTTCACGGAATGCCGCAGAAATCACAGAATCAAGTCCTAAACATGGAATACGTCAAGGATAGCATGGATTATAATTTTTTATAAGTACATGATGCTAAAAATATAGCTTCCAAAAATTTCTGATGTAGAAAATAAATGAATCTAAAATACGAGCACTTATTGTAGAACACTCTAATATAACCAACACAGAATTCATGAATAACCAACGCAGAGTTCATAAATCTTAATGCACGGAATTTGATTTTGTCATGGACGGAATCAGCAATTTATCACCGCAGGAAATCATCGCCCGGCCCTAAGAGCTAGTAATCGTATATATATTTCTGTATTTACCCACGTATGTCCGGTAATAAGATTATATTATCTGTTATTTATGTAATTTGTATCAAAGACCATTTTGATCAAAATTTGCACGTTAAAGAAGTCACTATTAGTTAAACTTTCTCAAGAAACACATTTAATAGTGTTTTAAAGTGATTTCGCATCGATTTTTTACGATACTCCTGGATTTTCGAAATATCTGAATTATGTTTATTGAATAAATACTACTTTCAATATTAGATCCATCTGAAAAACCAGGATCCGGGAGTCATCCGGGCAGGAACACAGAAAAATCATTGATTCAATGTAAAAATTCTGAACGATTTAGATAAAAATTTAACCATTTCTGCATTTTTAAGCGATTTATTTCGAAAAAACTACAGTATCTTCAAAAACTTGGTTGTAGTCAAATTTAAGATCTCGATCAAATCGCTTAGTGAAATGGCCAATCAAATCATTAGTTTCAAGCCTTTCAGGAACTTGCATGTTTTTTTAAATCTATTTTGTAAAACACGAATGAAGCATGGTGTCTGTCATGTGACCTGACATAGAAACAGTAGACAAATATAAATAAAGATATTGATGATTACATGTAAGCATTTCAACTTAAAACCTTGCATAGGTTGATGCAATTGAGTGGAATACATTTGATAGATAGTCTGATGTTAAAGAAAAAGATACATAGTCAAATAGCATCGTTGCACTCAAGACCCTGTCAAATTCAAATACAAATCAAAATTCAATTTATTTTTTAAACGAGTGGATTAAAATTGTATTCTATGAACTTAAGTAATATCCGCAACATCCTGTTGAATTAATGCTTCTATATAATGTCTAAGTTTAAAAATCACAAGCAATGTTTATTATCGTTGACTACTGCAAACAGTACCCGGGGTCTTATTCAAGAACTTTGTTTTTAAAATTGAATAGTACCAATAGTACCCATGGGTATTGTGTGAGGAACCGGATATTTAGGAATACATCTTATGAAAGTAATAAATTAAATAGTTATACCCCGGTACTTATTTCTTTCTATTACAAGATCATCTTTTCTTCTGATCCGTTCGTTTTCCCGGGCAGTTACGAGGTATTCTTCCCTCGATTCGTTTATACTTGCTTCTAAATTCATCACCTCCTCCTCATACTCTTCTTGCTCCTTGTTTCGGACCATTTCCAGCACCGCACTTTCCAACTCCAACTCCACCAACAGCTCTTTCTTGGTTGTTTGTTCAGCCATTTCCTGGTTGGCCAGGGATTTCTTGGTTTGGGTTCGGTGGAGTTTGGATGTTCTCTATGTTGAAGGGAAGTTGTCATTATATATATATAGAAAATAAAGAAAGCAGGAAAAAGGGTTCATTTAATCAACCTAAAAAAAAAAATTTAAAATAAAATAAAATAAAAATAAATAAAAATACCTTTGTGCGAGATGCCATTATATTGCCTTTTAGTTTTCTTTCCCTTTCGATCAGGATTGGCAGTCTATTTGATCCTGTTGCATGTTCTGATTCCTGAAGTAAATTTATACTATCTATATTGGAGAGGGGCTTTCTAGTATTACTTCTGGCTCATATGCTACCCCTTTCACTGTTTGTAAACACTTTATCTGTGTGAATAATCTTCTATATAAATTTATAATAAAAAAAAAAAATGAGGCAGATATTTCTTAATAAAAAAAAAAGAAGGCAGATATTTCTTAAAAAAAGAAAGGAAGGATGTTTAATGTGAATTTCGGTCGTAAAGGAACCCAGGGCGGTTCTTATATTAATATTAAGGGAGGTGGATATTAAATGATCTAATTGGTCAAAAATCTAATTATATCAATTCACATGAAATCATATAGTACATTTATATTCATAGATACAGTTTAAAGTACTTTTTAGAAAAAATAAAACTACAAAGAATAAACAAAAATTGATTTAGATTATTTTTAATGGTGGAGTCCTAAACCGTTTTATATGTTTCTTTTTTGTTTATTCTTCGTAGTTTTATTTTTTTAAAAAAGTATTTTAAACTGTATAAATAATGTAAAATTAAATTAAATTTTTTAGCCAATCAGGTGAACTTCTGTCTATGACATTTATATAGGATTAAGGTCCTGGATCGAATTATTTAACAATACAGAATTAAATTGATTGGGACGAACTTTCGGAAGATTCAATTCAGGATCTAAATGTATTGTGCTTTCATGCATACATATTTCATACTATACGTTAGAAAAGTTTTTGTACTGTATTTTTTTTTTTATAATTGTTCATACAGTACTGTACACACCTAATTATATTAGAGTATAGATAACTAAAAGGATCGACAATTACAGACAAGCTCATCTCACCGACAATTAACTTACCGACAAATTCATTTCATCAACAAAGTAATTCTGGTCATTGCTGTTAGTATCAGAGTTAAGGTTATGTAATTTATAAAAAATACTTGTTGCTGAAATGAACTTGTCGATAAGTTAATTGTTGGTGAAACTGTTAGTAAAATGAACTTGTCGGTCGGTGAGTTGATCGGATCCCAAATAGAATACTCGACATGGGCTTGGTAGGTTACCATGTAAATCACAAACTGAAAACACATACCGTAAATTCTCAAAATAGCGGGCATGGGCATAATTTTGGCCAAATTTCATAATTTTACCCCTGGGCGTTATTGGCTCTCCGAAAAGAAAATCAATCAACACAAATTATGAGCAAGGTTGAGAAAAAAATTGGAGGTAAGTTCCGAAGTATTTTGAAAGACAGCTTTCATACAAAGTTATATAGTTATAAAATGGTGTAAGACATAGCATTATTATAAATTTTGGGTGCAAAATACTCACATAATTAAGAAAAAAAACATATACATATAATTTACTTTTGTTGCATGCATAATTGATAGTTTATTGCCGCGTGTATAGTGAAACTCATTACGTAATCAAATTTTTTATAGTGGCGTAGTGATACGTATAGGGTGGGAATGGGCCAGGCCTGGCAGGGTCCAACGTAAAAAATTTTTGGGCCCAAGCCCGGGTATTTCCCTAGTTCGTTTTAGTACCCTGGGTACACATATAAGGGGATATATTGTATCGAAAAACATTGTGCGCGCCTAAGTTTGGGTGGGGCTGGCTAAACAAGAAGCCAGGAAATAATTTATTATTTAAAATAGTATGTAGATATTGTGCTAATACATGTGTGTAGATATTGTGCTAATACATGTGTGAAGTAATAGGCACTGAAGCGGCAATCATCCCGAAATTAGCAATGATAAATGCACAGGAGTTGCCGAAACAGACCAGGTGGAGCATAGTTAATGTGAAAATCAGCCGGTGGTTTCCCGCCTGCCGAAGCAAGCCGGCTGTTAAAATGGCAGAATCATAAACATGTTCCATGTTCACTTGTGTGTGTCTTTGTGGAGAGGTGGGTGGGGCAAAACTTTGATGATGGTTGATTTGCTTGTGAATAGAGAGAAAGAGTGGCTGCAGTAGGTATATTTATATGTCGTAGGGTGTGGGGTCGATCGAGCGTCGTGTAACGTTATTTAGTTGGCTGGTGAAACTGCATGAATTTTGACTGATAGTTACTATCCTCTGTGTGACCTCCTGGTTAGATCGATTTTCGGTCTGGGTTACCGGTGCTGGTACCGAGGCGCTTTACTAATTTTTCGAATGGTTAACCTTCGGTTAACTTATAGGATATGAATATGTTTTATTATGTTTCCCGGGTACAGAAACATGATAATATCATACTTAGGTACCCGGGTCCTAATCACGGGGGTGTTATTTTTGGGGGATACTGTATACAGTGGCCAACGGTACATGGTATATAGTGAACTTGGATATATGGTTTACCTTGTAACTCAAAAACTAATGAATATATCATGATAGAAATATTTGTAAATTTTTAGGTGGGAATTTAATCAAAATTATAGTATTATATCTTAAGTTGCACTGGAAGTTTTATCAGATGAAAAACAGTTTAAGCATAAAACTGATATCTATGGTTTGGTGTTATTATGGCTGAAATAATGGTTGTAAATTTGATATAAAACACACAGTCAAAAGATTTGCGACCAGAGATTGCTTCTGGAACTCCTGATTGTTTTGTTGAATTAGCAAATAAATGCATGAATTCAGGTCCACAAAAACGGATTAGTGCTTGGAGATTTATTACAACTTGATTATTGGATTGGAGAGATAGCTTTAAATAATAAATAATACTAATAATGAAAATGAATCAAAAAAAATTTTTTTTTAAATGTTGATAAAAATTATTAACATTTATCAATAATTAAAATTACACAAAAAATGTCAAGTGCAATTAAAGTTATTTAAAAAATTAAATTACTCAAAAATCTATATATTTTAATGAAAATAAATATTTATAAAAGAATTTTAAAATTAGCAATAAAATAGCACAAACTTATATAATACAGTATATATATATACATATATATATATAATATATACGTAAATTATATTAGATTTGAGCTTTCAAACTTCCCGATAATCAAAACAGTCAAAAAACCCTCCATTTTGAGCTTAACACTTTCATTGTCGTTAAAAAACAGTAGTTTTTTTTCTTGTTCAATTATAAAAAAAAAATGTTTTAAAACTTTTTATATCACTACAAGACTAAATACGTACATATGTACGTGAGAAAACTTTCCGTAGACGCTTGTTATTTACATGTTAATGATCTAATTTTGAAAATTCCTGTTAAATCGAGATTTTAAACTTATTTCAGCACCCTTACCGGTACCGGTACTGCCTCTGTAATCCGTGATCGTGATCTCTTGTTATTATATAAGCCTTGTCCGAGGCTTAGCTTCAAGACAAATAGTAATCATGCAATATATAATAAGTAAAATAAATTTGAGTCAAAAATCACGAATTGCCTCAGAGTATAAGTTTGTTTGTTCAACTTTTTCTTACGAACTTGCATAATAAATCAACCTAATAATTAAGAGATCACTTTATTTAGAGTAGTGTTGTTAACTGGAAGCTACTGGAAGACAATTGGAATTCCACTGGAAGAAAATTAATAGTACTACTGGAACTTTTACTATTACAAATTTCCACTGGAAGGCTGAGAATTTCTACTGGAAACGAAAATTAACAACACTGATTTAGAGTATCAATTTTACAACACATGACTCTTAAATAATAATTTTGTAGTTCAATATTCAATGTTTATAGTATATCATTTAGCAATAGCATATTATGTATCAATATTGTAAAAACTTTTTTAAATTCCTTATCGGTCTAATATTATTATTACCGCTCACTTTATTGTGTTTTGGGTGCCCGGCATTGGGTATTTCTTTACTTTTTTCCTTTAACTTGTAAATTCTTATAATTGTTAGGCACAGTTTTTTTTTAAAAAAAAACTTTTATTTTTAAAACTCAGAAATACTCAAAATTATATTTTTCTTGCAAACTAATGGGGATCTTAAACTTAACTTCCCGCTCGAAATCATGTAAGATGTTTTATGATATTTTGATCTATTTTCAATTAATCCTTCAATTATCCTTATTAACAAAACTTCCTCAAATAGCTATCTACTTATTGCAATTTTTGGTCCCGGTAAAGTACATAAATCTTTCAGATAAACCCCAAAAATTTCTACCGATATGGTAAATTAGTTTATCAATATAGTGATATTTTTCTTTAGTATTATTGACCATCCTCATGATACGTAAATGTTGCTGTAATTGGTGTGTTTTTACACACGAATCTTTACAACAAATTTTAATGTAGGTTTATTCACATACTTCTATTCATTTATCGTATTTATTCGTTTATTATTTATTTATTATTTATTGTTAAATGTCCAATTTTTATACATAATAAATGCACAGGTGGCTACTTTTATTCTGGATAGCATATTCCCGTAAGTATAATTCTAAGCATAATTCTAAGCATTTATATTCAAAAAATAGTTATATTTCCCTACTTTCTTTTTAAAAATAAGTAATCTACACACATTTCACGTGGAGTGAACTAGGTGACATTCCATTATTTTGTCCGCCGGGATATGATTACATTTCACTGGAAATTAAACAGGCATGTGAGGTTCGGGCCGCAAATTTACTTTGCCAATGGATTTTCTTGTTCTTAATAATTATTTGGACTACATTTTTACATGATGGGTATATATCTGAGCATTTGGATGTTGGTAAAAAGTTGACTTATTCTGAAGAAAGTTACGATTATTAGCTAGTTTTTTTTTTTTTTTTTTTTTAGACTAATAAATAAA